CTTGGCCACCCGCCTCTCAACCCCAACCCCAACCTCCGTCGTGGCCTGCAAACTGGCCACCGCAATACCCCACGGCGGTGCCGCCCAACTGGCCTCCACCCCTGCCCACTCACCCGCCCGCCATGAGTCCTGTTTATCCGACTCTACCTTCTACTACCGAGAAGCCCGCTATCGTGCCCGTTGAGACCGGGGGTGGCGATTCGACCCCGGATTACAACAGCGCACAGTGTGGCCTCAAGAACGGACTGGAACGCGAGGAGGACAGGATTGTCGGAGGTCAAAATGCCAGACCTGGAGAATGGCCTTGGATTGTGAGTGTCTCTTTTATCTAAAAGCCTTCAGGCATTCACCATCATGTATCAGAGTGCTTAAATTCGTACCTTGTTCAACGGTCCATTCAATCTATCACTGAAAAAAAATTCTCGGCGTTTTTACCAAGGTCCGTTGGTACCTTTACCATCTCACTTTTTTTACCAATTGCTGGTAATTTTACCGAGACAGACTGGTAAGCTTACCTAAAAACCGGTATTTTTACTATTTTTTTCAGGTAAGAATACCACTTTTACTGGTAATCAATTCCCGGTAACTTTGCCATTTTATCTCGGTAATTCTACCACAGTCGATAAAAAATATTGGCGTTTTTACCAAGGTCCAGTAAAATTACCGAGAAAGTTCAATAATTTTATCGAGATTTCTCGGTAAAATTACCAATTCCATAAATGGTAATTTCACCAAGAAAAAACTGGGATCAAATAGAACCCTGAATTCTTGGTAATTTTACCCTCTTCTTAGTAAATACACCGAGATTTTTTTTTTTCAGTGAAAAAAGCGAACATACAGAGCTTTCCTTACTTTTCTCGAAGAAAATATTTTATCGGGAGAAACAAGGCAACGTTGGAGTGCTCATACGGCGTCGAAACACAGCATGGGCCTTGTAAGCCCCATCGTTCGATGCCGCGATTATCCTAACGCGAGTTTGAATAATCGCGTCAAACACAGTGCGGTCGGCGTCGAACTCATATCAGCGCCTGCAAGACTACAGGAATACTTCATGCATTGCGCCAAACAGTGCGGTCGGCGTCAAGCGCATGTTAGCGCCTACAAGACTGCATGAATACTTCTCGTATTGCACCAAACGCAATGCGAGAGTTATTAGCGGTAACTATTCGACTTCGCGTATCGGCACATTGCCGCTGGCTGGATTGAAGGCGCATCACACTGTGAAGATGACTCGACATTCGACCGCACTCCCTTCCCTGGCTTGTACGACGCTAAAATCGCCGCAAGACTGGATCCACGAGTCATTTCTTCAGACGGTCCCTGCCCGGGTTTTACCCCAATTAAGGGATAAATATGTATCTTAATAGCAACGATTCAGAAACTCGGACGATGTTTAAACGATGCAGTGATTCTGAAACTTGAATAGCATCGAATTAATTTTTGTTTAATAAAAAGAAAACAGAGCGAACGAAAATATCGCGTCGAAATATTTTGTGATTTTATTTTCAATCATTCCGGAAATTTTGAAACTTCTAAAAAAATGTGTGTAGCTTATATGTAAGAAAAAACTTGGGAAGTCTGCATCGGAATGTTGTGTAAGTTGCCCGTCTACTAATTGAAGGGGTATCTCATTGTTAAAGAAATTCATTGCAATAAATTAACATAAGTTGCTATGTTTCTTTGCATTGCAAATACTTAGCCTTTTTTTATACATGGAGCTCTTCTTATTGATAGTTTAAAATCAGCATTTATTACGAAATGATATAAATATATTGCAATATCATGGAGGAAAAAAATGCAATTTATTTCATATTTTCATTGCACTGTGCTGCTAGGGGGGAGACATCTGAGAAGTTTTCCCCTCTCAAAATGTATCTTATTTATAGGTCAATAAGAGAGAAGAAAATTAATGATTTCACCAACAACCTTCTTCATTTTTCAGGCTGCTTTAATGAATGGAGGACGCCAGTTTTGTGGAGGCTCACTGCTTGATAATCAACATGTCTTAACAGCTGCTCATTGCGTGGCTCAGTAAGTTTTATTGTTAGCCATAGAGAAATAGTTAGTATGTAGCTACCTCAAAGCAATTCATTTCAAATTTAATGACAATAGTCTTGCCACGAAGTGTTATTTCTGGTACATTTCTATAAATGTTTAAAGAAATGAGTAAATTTTGGAGTCAAAAGTAAGAGCATTCCCTTTTTTTTTTTTTTTGGATTCAAAGATAATCGTACTGATTCGAATTAAAACTGTAGAGTGGGTTATAGGACATTTCGTCAACGATTTTTTGTCCGCGCACCTGTTTTTTCCAGTAATTTACGTCCACGCGTTTTTTCGGCACGGGAGTTTTGGTCCACGTGACAGTTGAGACCCAAAGTTAATCGGCCCACATGTAAATACAAACGACAATTGCTCACGACGTTTTTGGATGAAAATATATGTTTTGAAAGAATGAGAGTTTGCTTGTTTTTTTTGTTTTGTCTCTTTGGTCCAACGGAGATTAATATATAGTTGAGAGTTTTGGTAAAAATTGGGGAGCGTCAATTCCATGAGACAAAATTCACTAAAACTCTCTACATCTCTTTGGTGTAACAGGACTTAATTATCTTTCAAGAAATTCCCACCTTGTTATACCTGAACCGGATAAACCTCTATATTTGCCTCAGCTAAAGGCTCTTAGATTTTTCCTGTGTACGATAAGTATCTTGATTTATTTTGCGAGGAAAGATCTGTACTTTTAAAGGATGCCTGCTATTCTTAATACGTTCAATTTCGTATAGTACTGTGCAACACCTTTGTTGAGAAATAGTTGCTTCAGGCGCCGCGCCGCCGCACGGCGGGCGGGCGGCCAGCGCGAAATGCGCATTGGCGCCTACAAACCTAAGTGGATACTTCAAGCATTGTGCAATGTGTGAAGTATCCACTTAGGTTTGTAGGCGCTAGTGAGCCTCTCGCGATGGCAGCACGCCGCTCCGCTCTGTTCGGCTTTGATATTTATATACTCGCACAGTCAGCGTTTTTTAACTTATGATTTTGAAATGTTAGCTCACTCTGCATTGATTATTCTCATTAATTAAATTGATGGGGAAAAAAATATGTATCAACTTATCAAAGGAGAATAATAATATAATGTGTGTTTTTTGAATATTGGTGGTTCCGTGTCAAATTTAATGATTTCCAAAGCACTTAAATTTTTTCTTTTACATTTTGTGCTTTTATTGTGCTGCAGCGAGGTGTACGCGCAACGAAACGCTCAAAATTTGACGTATTTGACTCTAAAAGATCGATGTACAAATGGGTTAAAACTAAAGATTGCGTGCATCTTGGTTTTTTTCCCCTCTTTTATTCATTTTTGCAGTTTCTGTCGGCACAACTGCGGCTCATTGAGATTAATGTCGCTTGGAAAAGGTTTTACAAATATTTGTCACGTTTTAAAAATATGAATGTTTTCAAAATGAAGTCAAAGTTCCGTAAATAAAAAATAAAAAAAAATATTAAAAAAAGTACCTATACATATATACGGTACATTGTACATTCAATATTTTAAAGACAGAAATAAAACCAAATATTCACCAATGACAATTTAAAAAGGTGATTCAAAAGGAGAAAGTAATAACATTTCATTTAGAAAATGAGCAACCATAACAACACCTCCTTCTCTCTCAATTTCTCATTTCCATAATGTCAATATAATTTTACATACCGACTAAAATATAACGCTTGGACCAAGTAAGTGTTGCTTATTTTACGTACGGGCGTAAACTACTGGACAAAAAAGGTGCGCAGACAAAAAATCGTTGACAAAATGTGCTGAAACCACAGAGTGCGATTTACAAATTGAGGCAGGCGGAGTAAGTGAGACATGAAAAGCATCGCAATCATGACTACTAAAGTACAAAGTAAGAGTACATTTTCAACAAAAAATGGTTGCATTTTATTGGATAATTTGTTATACCAGAGTATTTATACTTTTTTTCAACTTTACCATGTATATTTATTTTATCTTTTTGTAAATGTAAAATGTATTGTTACTGTTCCCCACATAAAACAACTTTTGTATTCAATGAAAGGTTTGTAAATTAAGTGTTTTCATGAATTCCTAAGCTTATGAAGATTGAATGCATTAACAATATTTTAACGGTATCACTATTGGTGGCAAGAGCATCCTGAATATAAAAATGACAAAGAACAAATAATGGATTTTTCTCAGTGCCTAAATTCTCATTGAAATATTTTTCTACTTTTCAGCATGAGCTCTTGGGATGTGGCCCAATTGACGGTGAATCTTGGAGATCATAACATTAAGAGTTCCTCTGACGTGCGGCACATTGAGAAAAAGGTGAAAAGGATAGTCAGGCATAAAGGTTTTGACGCTCGGACATTGGTAAGTACCTACTGCAGTAATACATAAAAGGTCAAATTCTATATATTTTACATTGATTCTTTTTATTTACATTCATTTTTTCGAAAAAACCTTTTACACAAATGAAATTGAAGGGATGACCTAGGAGTCTTCACTTGTTTCTATTTCCTAGAAATGAAAACAATTTTACACTTCATACCAGATTTTAGACAAAAGTTAATTGGAACATCCCTTCTACAAACAGGGGAGGTGTCTGATTAAAATTTCAATCTCACAACATCTTCAAACTACGAATATTACTATGCTTCACGCCCTGAGCGTTCAATACTCTAAGTAATGAACATCATTAGAATGATCGTAAAATGTTTGAGCCTGAATTTGTCACCTTCCAGTCGAAGTATTACAAGCGCCAATCTCCATAAGACCGATGTAAAACTGAAAAAGTTGAACACAGCTGTTCCAAACACAGCAGAGACTTGAAATTTCTAATATGTACCTGCTCAAATCACTTTCTTGTGATACCCTGTTCTAATACCCCATGGCGTCATGGCGCTTGTGATAAACTAGTTTTTAAATCTTCAGCATAATAAAGAAAACAATTGACGACAGACACATACGAAAAAATTAAGAATTATAAGTTTTCCCTGCCGAATTGTTATTCTTAAACCAGAAAAGTCCCGAACCCCGAGAAGTCTTTCTGTATTCTAATTTGTCAACAATGGTACTTGTGATAGTTTGGCTGGAAGGTGACACAGTTATTTTATTGCTAAAAGTTATACTACAATGAAACAATATTACATACACTCTTTATTTTCAACTGATTTAACTCTAACAATATGATGTGTTCATTCGACTTATTTTCGATTATCTGTTCCCCAGTATAATGATGTTGCCATTATAACTTTAGACTCACCAGTGACGTATTCGAGGAATATCCGCTCTATCTGCCTCCCATCAGGCAACAAAGCGTATGCAGGGAAGACTGCCACTGTGATAGGGTGGGGAAGTTTGCGAGAGAGTAAGTAAATCTAATGCATGAGGAATTATTTCGCTTTTGACTATCATTTTTATTTCAAATTATTCACCCTCGAAAATTTAATAGAGGCTTCATTAAAAAAATGCAGTTGAAAAGATATGCTAAATTTTCATGGGAAGAGGGAAAACATCAGTATGATCATTTTGGAAGTGAAGCAGACAATTATATTTTTATACTATCATCCCAGTTGTACAATTATCTAAATAGTTCTGAGTAATTTCATAATATATTTAAAACGGAAATAAATGGACACTCTTCGGCATGAAGCTTTTAAAATCAAGATATTTGGTCGCAGCATTAGCGTAATAACATGGGTGAGAAAATATGTGGGGTCGTGAAAAATGAAGGGAAGAAATTCATGACAATTAAAACGATACTGAAATAACAAACTAATATATCTGAAATAAAGACTATTCCAAGGCACTCATTTCAACCTGATTTTCGATGATTTCAGTGGGTCCTCAACCGGCCATACTGCAGAAGGTGAACATACCCGTTTGGACGAACCAGGAGTGTAAAGAAAAGTACGGGCCAGCAGCCCCTGGTGGAATCATTGATACAATGTTGTGCGCCGGGCAAACCGCTCAAGACTCGTGTAGTGTAAGTTCTAAATGCACAAATCTTTCCCAATTTAATTTTTTTCCCAAACGGATAAGATGGTTTTGCCTGTGAATTGCATTGAACTGAATGAAAACATCCCTTCAAGAAATAATCGCTCCAAATTAGTGTTGAGTGATAAAGGGTTTCTCATAAAATATGTGACGCTCTAAGGAGGGAGGGGGTTGAGGAGAGTGTTGCGCCATTTTGTTTTTATGTATTAAAGGATGAGGACCTTCATCACGTAAGCCTTTCAAGAGAGCAAGGAGAAGTTGAAAAATCCAGTCATTTAGCGCTAAATATTTTACGAACAAGCCCTGAAATCTTCTTTCCTATCCTCTAAAAATTATAATTTTTTGCTCCTACCTGTTGGTGGTGGATCTCTCTTGGTACTCATTAGATATTTTTTTTGGTTCAGGGTGACAGTGGGGGCCCGTTGATGGTTGAAGACGGCACATGGACACAGGTTGGAATAGTCAGTTGGGGAATTGGCTGCGGGAAAGGCCAGTACCCTGGAGTTTACACACGAGTAACTCACTTCATGCCTTGGATCAAGAAGAACCTGAAAACGTGAAAGGAAAATCTACTTTAAATTCTTCCATACATAAAAAAACAACAAAAAACGGCACAAAGTCATCTATTTTGAAAGATTTTTAGGCAGCACAAATCGAGGTTCAAAATACCTTGCTAAGCTAAAATTTATTTGTGTTGGCAATTTTTTTTAGTCAGGCTAGACTTTCGAATCAATGCAAATCAAAATTCTAACAATTGTACTGTTCTCTGACAAAATTTAGATTGATTTGACACACTTTCATTCATTTTTTTATTTTAAATCTAAAAAAAGGTGCATTGCTTTTGGTTGGAGCAAAACTCCAACCAAAAGCAATGCACTTAAAAATTCAAGTGGCTCGGTAAATCAAAATTTTAAACAGCAAAACTGAGCTGCAAAAGTTATGGAAGAATACAGTGCAGTTTTAAGAGGTGATAAAAACAAATGTGATAATGTGCAATAATTATTGTGCCAATTTTAAACGTAGGTATAAAAATGTGAAAAAAAATTAAATTAATCTGGAAACAATTTTATGTTTCTATGTCATTATTTTGACAGACATATTGGAGCAGATCTTGTTCCACACAATTAAAGAGACCTTTTTATGTTCTTGTGCAGATGATAAAAAAGTCATTTGCCCACGAATATGAAAAAATAGTGCTTCCCTGGAATGAGTTTTTGCCTTGCCTGTGAAGGCAAGGCAAAAAAAGATGACATCGGTGGAGCTTTCATTGAACCGTTAGAGGTTCGTTCTGAATTTGATGGTTGTGAATATGTAAACCTTCATAGCGCTACTACCTCTAAAAGCACACATTGCTTCAAGTCAATACAAATGACTGTGAACTATTTTAAGGGGTAATTACCCTCCCTCGAATGAGAGAGTAATGTAAAAATGTTGTAAGTACAAAAAAATTTGAAAAATTGGAACGCAAGTGTAAATTTGAGAGAGGAACCATGGAGATGAAAGAGAGATGATTGAACAGGTATACGAAATCTTTAAATGTGACTATTGCACAAATGCTGTATTGTTTCCCGCAGGATTTTGAAGGAAACACCTGAGAGGTTCAATTCTAATTGTCTCAGCAGAATAAACAAAGCAAACTGAAATAATCAAAAATAAAAATTGTGAAAATAAAGTTTCTCATCTATCAAAGTTTTGTTATTTTCTTGGCCTCAAAAAATACACCTTAGTTATAATTACTGGTTTTTTTTTTTTTTTTTTTTTTTTTTTTTTTTTTTTTTTTTCTAG